GTCAACTAGTGGGAGTAGTTACAAAAGTCTATGTCCTGGGAGAACCTAGTAAGAAAATCTTTTAACCTTGGGAACATAGTAAGGCAATAGATGAAAACTTAACCAAACTGTTTTTGTCTTTTTTTTTTTTTTTTAAAGAATCAATGTATGACTCCTGATGAGACTGTGTGGGAACCCATTAGTCAGGTTCAACCTATCCTGGGATTTTCCACATAGTTTAGGAGCATAGAAATCAGATATGCATCTGAAATACTTTGTCCTCTTTCTTTTCACAGTAGGGTCTAATAATTTATCAGCTTATAGTATGTTGGGTGAACATTTATGAACATCTTAACCCTATTTGAGATTTTGTGATGCTAGGCATAGAAGGGTTTGTCTTGAGACACAGGCTAAGCTCTTCACATTTTGGGTATCAAAGCTGAGCTGGTTCAATGGCTCATTTGGAGGCAGAAGATAGAGGAAGAGTTACTTCCTGTTGTTTTATACTGCTCTAATGTGAGACAGAATTAGTAAGTAATAAAGAATTGTTATTGACAGCCTGATTATCTCTACTTACAGCTATTTCCCCAACTCTCCCTTTTCCAATACAATATCTTTGGGAGGATGAGATCATATTTAAAACAAACATACACACCCCACTGAACAATAGTGGGCATTGTATATCCACATTCAAACCCTACAGCTATTCTGGCTGGAAACCAACGGATTCTGTAGTTTTGAGTGTCTACTTTGTTAATTGAAGAGTTTGGTGTCAATTAGCCTGCCTTTTAAATTCAAGATTGTGAAATCTCTTACATAATTGTTTTGGTACACAAAATCAGCAACTTTCACAATTATCAACAATTTAGCATTTTACTACTTCAATAATATACATTCAATCTTCAATTGCTAGTATTTCAATGTAAATCAGATAAGGAACATTTCAAGTTATATTTAAAATACTTCTTGTTAAATTTAAAAGTTGGAAGCCCAGGACTAGGGGGATGGCTCAAGTGGCAGAATGCTTCAAATGCAAGACCCTGAGTCCAATTCCCAAAACTGCAAAACAAAACACTAAACATTTTGATGATCATTCTTTTTCTGCAATTCACTGCACACACAGACATGCACAAACACGTAGTTCTACATACATGTTTCTATGGATACTCTTTCCTCTCCCTTTTTTCTCCCTTCTTTTCTTCTTATTTCCACATAAGCACACACACAAATGTTTTTCACAGTTTCATAAAAAATGGAATCACTTAAATTTTTCTCTACACTTTGCCATTATCATTTGATACATGATGGAAATCCTTTCAGAATTATTTGGAAATCCTTCCAAGTCACTAATATAGATTCAACTTCTACCATTTAATGATTTCATAACATACCATAATATGGGTGTGCCCTAATTTATATAATACTCCTATTAATAGGCATTCCCATTCCCAGGATTTTGCCACTACCTACATTGTGGCCATCAACATTTAAGAGAAAAACTTTCTCGCTTACTTACTGGTGTTTTTATTTCTAAGGAAAAGATTCCATGGCATGAGACTGAACTGACTGATGAAAGAATATATGTATTTTCAGTACTGACACATGCCTTATTGTTTATTAAAAAACCTCTGTCACAACTCACATCTCCATTATTGTTTTATGAGAAAATTCTTCCTTGCACATCCCCACCAGCAGTATTAGCACCTAATTTTTCCTAATTAGAGATGTATTTCATTATTATGTATTAGCAGTAAGGTTATACTTTTCATGTTTGTTGAATGTTAGGTTTTTCTGTGTACATCTGGTTATATGTTTTATCTGTTTCTATCATGTGGACTTTTTCTTAATTTGTAAGAATTTTTACAAATGTTAACTCTCCATTTGTTACATGTATTTCAAATATTTCTTTCAATTACTTGTCCTGAGTTTTATCACAGAATTCTTTACTTATATGTAGTCTCGTATGTCTGTCTTTACTTATATTATTTTCAGGTTTTTTTTTGTTGTTGTTGTTGTTAAAGCACTAGTGGGGTTTAAACTCAGGGCCTCCTACCTAAGTCCTCCTGTGCACCTCACAGGTACACACCACCATGACTGACTTGTTGGTTGAGACAGTGTCTCACTAACTTTTTACACAGGCTGAACCTGAACCATGGTCCTCCTAATTCCAAATAGCTGAGATTACAATCAGCCACTATGCCTGATTGACTTTTAAGTGTTCTGCCTTTGTTTGCATCTTATATATAAAGGAAATTTGGGACATTAATATTTTAAATGTTTTCTTGTTGACACTTAAATCTTTCATCAATCTGCATAGACATCTGCATATGTTGCAAGGTACTGGCTCAGTTTTATTTTCTTCTAGATGCACAAATTGAATCATTTACTTTTACCACATATATGCCTTTCCTCTGCCAGGGATGAAATGTCACTTTGTCACAAAGTAAATTCATTTAACTACTGGGATTTACTTCTGTTTTGCCACATTTAGGGCCGGAGGTGGTAGCTCTATGGTAGAGCACCAAACTACCAAGCCACAAGCAGAGTTCAAATCCCCTGTGCCATGGAAAAAAACAAAAAAAAGGTAAGAAAATTTCGCTGCACTAACATGCTTGCATCTAAAAATGTATTTACATCTAAGAAAATGAAATAACTTAGTTATATAAGTCAAAAACAATTTCTCGATATTCAAGTAATTTTAAAATGAATTATTTCAATCTCTTAATTTCTATATCAAATTAACAAAATTGCAATGTCTATGGATTGTAGGAACTCAAAAACACAGAAAGTATAAAAACAAATTTTAAATCTTTCTTTCATGTCGTAACGTAGTAGAGATAATTGCTATTTTACCTTCCAACTTTTTCACTGTATATGTACAAACCCTACCACACATATGCCCTTTTTTCAATTTGAAAGCTATCTCCAATCTAAGCGTTCTCTATTTTATCTTTAAATAAGCATTTTTTGAAAATTAAAGTAAAAAATAGCTAAAACAAAACTTATAAAATCTAGTTGCTTTTCACTGCTCAAGTACTTCTGGAACTCTTCTGAATCATATTAGGCACCACTCACTTTATTCTCAATGAAATGAGTCTAATAATTTTTCAGAAAGGAAACAAAGCATAGCATGTTGTACACCTACTTTTTCAAAAGGTTTTTCATCAAAAGAGCAATAGTTTCAGAACTGGGACCAGTACCACAAGCCTGTAATCCCAGCACTCAGAAGGCAAAGGCAGGAGGATTGAGTTCAAGGTCAGCCTGAGCTACGTAAAAAAAATAAGTTTCTACAGATACCATTAAGATTCGAAATTGAAAATTTTAGTCATAATAATGATACAAAAAATAGCAATAAATACTCATAGACTATCAGAATTAAAAGCATAGGTATAAGAATTCAAATATGAAAATATTTATGATATTCCATCAATTATTAAAAATGATTAATTTCAGCAATTAAATTTTAAAAAGCTAAAACAAGAAACAGACAGGAGGGATGTTTCAAATAAATCATTAGATAATTTTATTTATAGTAGCAACTAATTTTACAGGTACTTCTACTGTATACTATATATACTACATATAGAAGAAAATACATAAACCAAAGGCGTTTGTTTTACAATAAGAAAAAGAGAATAGCAAAACTTCAAATTCTCTATAAAAATTAAATGAAAAACATTCTTATTGGTCAGAATTCATTTATTTATAATAAATATAATAAAAGTGAATAAATTCATTTATAATATTTCACTTATTTTAATAGAGATGTCATTAAAGAAAATATTCAATAATTTCTTAATAAAATACTTTCCTTAAAGCAAAGGGATACTATTTTTGTCAGGGTTAAAGTAAAATATAAACTCATGATAGCTATACTTCAGTTGTTATTTAATTTGCTGACACTTTCCATTGCAAAACCACTAATCCCTGCGTCATCCATTTAGGAAGGGATAATTTTTACTTTAGTTCATGTCTCTAACTGCTCCCTATATTCGTCTATTTCATCAGGCTAAAAGTAGATATTATAACATTTACTTTTTTTAGGCAAAAATTGTAAACTTTTAAGTATTAACTCAAAAGTCCTTGCTTTACATCTGTATAATTTTAATATAGTTCTATCATCTACTGTAAGAATAAAAATTTTGAATTAGAAGAACTGTCTGCTTAACTTGATCCCATGTACTAATGATCACAAGATTTAGAAAATCTTTAAATAGAAAATACTAAAATCATTGCAGTTACCAAAACAGGGGACTTTATACTGAACTTTCTCAGCTCCTACTAATAAATACATTTTTGAGCCCAGGAGATGCAGTGAGATCTAGGGCTCAAAATACAAATAAGGAAAATTAAAAAAAAAGGAATCTTTCTTAGAAGTAAATTTTTTTCTGTTCCTTTGTTCCCCATAATAGTCTCATTTCAAACTCTACTCCCTTTTCTGTACCTTAAACTTGTTGCTCAAAAGGGGATATTCATCAATTTTGCATGGTATCTTAGGTCTCCTTTCGAAATTCAATATATAAGCCAAAAATGGTGGTGCATGCCTGTAATCCTAACCCTAGGAATGAAGGCATCCCTTGAAGGCTGAGGCAGGAGGATAGAGAGTTTGAGGCCATCTTGGGCTATCATCCAAAACCCAACCAACCAACCAAGAATTCAGTATATGAAATCAAAGTAGATGTAAAGTAAGTAATTAGGTATTTTCCCTGGCATGATGACACATACCTGTGGGTCCAGCACTCAGGAGGCTGAAGCAGGAGGATGACAAGTTGAGGCCAGTCTGGGCAACATAGTAAGACCCAGTCTGGAAAAAAAACCTAAATTAATTTTACAAAGTGTGTACTAAACACTGTACATTCATGATCTAATTTAAAATATCTATGGGGCAGATTTAACTATGAGTAAACTTAACCTTATATCCATAGCTGATAAGACGGAGGGCTAAAATCTAAACCCAGGTCTCTGTGGTTGGGAAATCTATCTGGGTGAGGTCAATTGTGTGTTGCTCTACATTCACATACCACTTAGTTTTCAAGATGCTTTTGCTGAATGAAGATCCTCTCACGTACAGTCTACTGCTATGCCACTGCAGCACATGCAGAGCTGCTTTCTTCATTCACAACAGCTCACTCCTCTTCCAGTCCCTCCCACATCTGCATGATAGCCACCTGCTGTGAAAGTTAGTAGGTCACTGTATCCATTCTATTGACTACAATTTGGAAAATTAGTATTACTGAAGAAAAAACAGAGGAATACAAAATATTGTGCAGTGGCTCATACCTGTAAACCCAGCTACTTGGGAGGCACAGATCAAGAGGATAGACATAGAACTTCAAGGTCAATGAGGCCAAAAAAGTTAGAGGCCCCCATCTCAACTAATAAGCTGGGAATGGTAGTGTGTCCTTGTGGTTCCAGCTAAACAGGAGACCAGAAATTGGAGGACTGAAGTCCAGGCCAGCCAGGACAAAAACTGCAAGACCCTATCTGAAAAATAACTAAAGCAAAAAGGGCTGGGGCCATGGCTCAAGTGATAAAGTACCTGCAAGTGCAAGGCACCGAGTTCAAACTCCAGTACAGCCAAAAAGGAAAGAAAAAAAAAAAGACTGTGTAGTAGTCTCTAGGACCGAGTGGCTACTTTAGTTCAAGGGAGAAGGACACATTCATAGTGATGATGATAATCTGTAAAGGCAGGGAAAACAAGAAGGACCTCAAGGTAAGAAAACAAAATGTCAGGGGCCATAATCCTTATGGGTTATCTAGTGGTGGACATTATTGCATAATTCCTCAAATAAATATTAAGATTCCTACCTGTAACATTCAAACTGATAAAACTAGTCTCAAAAATGTCTTCCAAACTTCAAATCACCTGTGTGTGTCAAAGCTGTTTTTTCACTTTCAATCCCCCAGCAATTTAGTCACTAATTCCTGCTGGTATTCTTCCAGATTTCATCAGTGGTCTAAGTTGTTGCCTTCACAAGTTCCCTACAATTACAGGAATTGTGAAGTAAAACTGCAGACTCACTCAACCTCTTCCATATTGCCATTTTCCCCACTAGTGCTCAATGCTTTTTTAGCTAGTTTTCTCATGCCCATTTTGGTACACTTGGACAGAACTGGTTTGGACTTCCAGAGCACTTAAGGAATTTTTATTCAGTGGAATGTCACCTAGGCAAGGAAGCAACATGATTGATTTTTTTCTTTCTGTAGAGATCAAGGACCCTCATTCTGGAGAAAACTAATGGATAAAAGTTATATTTACATTTGCAATAGTATGGCTTATATAAACCCATCAACACATTAGTTCTACTGTCCAGTATAGATAATAACTACAAAATGCTAAAACTGTAAACTCAGCAAGACTATATTATCTATAGTGCTTTGGCACAGCAAGGCAGCAAGATCATCCAGGTTATGTTTTCTAGTAAGGAGTATCAAATAGGCCAGTTTTTCTTTTTTATTAAATTGCTAACATTCAAGAGTTTTAACTTGTAGCTTTCCTTAGCAAAACAGGACTGGGATTTATTGTACAGAATTTGGAATACACAGAAACTAACAAAAATAAGTCAGTCTTACCCATTACTCAAAGGTAATGCTCTTACTTCCTCATTTTCAGCTGACTTTTTAATATTCTTCAATTACATTGGTTAGAAGACTATGAAATTTAACTGAGAAAAAGGTTTTTTCATATTAAGAAGGGGTACAATTCAAATTTTATAAATCAAATTTCAATTTTGTGACACCTTTCAACTTGAAAGAAACAAAGGAACTTTCTAAGTTTGCAGCACAAATAAAAGAGTTTAGCCCCAGACTGAAAAACATTCTTTCCAGAACATTGTTTGGAGTTAAAACATTGGCTACTACTTTACATATAAAATGGGAGTACACTGGGTAAGGCAAAACAATTTCTGTTTTTTCACAAAATACCATCCACCAACATCAGAAGAGGTCACCTAGAGTTTTACAAAAGGGAAAAGCTAAGGAGGAACACGAATGTTACCTAACAAATTTGCTGCAAAGCTGGTCACAGAATTCATTGTGGGCGGCAAATTAAGTAGGATTTTTCAGGGAGAAAAAGCAGAAGGAAGCCAAAGGCAGAAAATATCAAAGTATGCAGAATCTAGACTTAATCTCTTTGCCTTTAAGCTATGGTCAAATAAATTTGGTTTAATTTCCAGCCCGTTCAGATTCCAAGGGATTATTTCCCTTTCAGGAAAACCTAGTCACTTTTCCACAAGCTAGCCTGGGCCTCCTGCAGACCACAACATGGCCACACCATCTTTCAACGCCTCCCCATTCGATGAGACTGTCGCATTACCAACACCCCCGTTCTGAAGACAGTGTTTTTAGTCCTTTAACCGTCCTCTCTCTTAGGGAAGAAAAAAGCGTAAGCCTTGCTTTTACCATTCGACCCCACCCGAAGCATGTGAATACTCACAGAACCTCTCCTGCAAGGATGTCAGATAAAACCCTTATGATCACTGAGAAAGCACATTCGCAGCGAAGCTTTCCAGTGACTGCAGTGAGGGCCGTATTAGTGACATTCCCTCCCAAGCCTGTCTCACTGGAGACGCCTCTGCCTCCAGGGTTTTTCCTACCTTCCTGCTCACCAGGTGAAGGCCTTGCCAAAGAACTGAGCTTTGGGGAATGGGACTTGGCGGCTGTTGCAGACCCCGAGGAATGGTTGAAGCAATGATATACTACATGAAGCCCCAAAGTCTCCAGATAGGAAACCATAATGGCCGCACTCACTCTCAACCCCGGGAAGGTGGACATCTCAAGCCCCATGTAGAGGGGCGATCACAGTGAGGGGTCGGGGGGGTCAGGATATCTGTAGAAATAAATGAGCTCCTTGCCAGCGCAGAGTGACAGCGGAGAAGCCCGAAGCAGCAAAGGCCACGGTTCACCCTCTCCCTTCTCTATCTCCTCCTACCCCTCTTGGATCCCCACCAGTCGCCAGTTACCGGTTGCCGCTCACCTGCGGAGGCGCGAGGTGCAGAAACAGTACAGACCAGGGACCCAGAGAGTCTGTCACTGAGGGAGGGGAAGTCTTCAGCAGCAGGGGGGCGGGGCGGGCTGGCCAGTCACGTGACACCCAAAGCTCCGCCCTGCCTCCCCCGCCCAGGCGCGCTGGGTCTCAGAGGCTTGAATTATTGTACATCGCTTGAATGTTATTTTACTATTAAAGAAGAAAGCAAACGTGATAAAAAAAAAAAACCAACAACAAAGTCTGTGTGGTAAAGCTGCAGTGCAGAAGGCGAGGATGGCAAGGGTTAAAGTGCATTGCTAAGGAAGTGACGTTCGAGCCACAATGTAGGGACCGGAAATGGCGATGGAGTTCCGTCCCTGTGGGGCCCACCGGTAAAATCCCAGGCTGTAAAGCTTAGGCCAATCACGTGATTTCAAAACTTGAGGCGTGCTGGAGGGTAGCCAAGTTATCCGGCCGACTGTTAATTACGTTTGCTTTAAAATCACATGAGTTTTCCACGGGCTTCTTTGTATGTAGAAGAATCGATTTTATAAAACCTTATTAGGAGACGAGCGACTGAAGGTCACTCCAGACTACAGACTGGAAAGAAGGTGGCGGGAAGAGATTGTGTTTGCTGATGTGGGAAAGCAGGAAGGGTGGAAAAATCCGGATTTTACCGCCAGGGCCTACCAAGCAAGCCACACAAGTTGTGTCGTAATGGGTGGGAGGAGGAGCGTGACGATCGTAGGCACAACCCTGGGGAAAGATGGAGGTTCAATAGTGAGGTGGGGGGTGGGGGTGGGGGGGGTGTGCGTGAGGCGCGCAGTGCGGCTGCGCAAGAGGCGGCGGACGCGCCGGCGCGCAGAGGGGGCGGGGTGAAAGGTCACAGCGCGGCGGCGGGTCTGGCTGGCTGCGGCGGCGGGCGGGAGCCGAGTGCACCGTGTGCACGTGTGGAGGAGCGGCAGCAGCAGCAGCAGCGCGGCGGCGGGAGCCCTCTCCGCCCCCTTCCGATACTCAGGGCAGTGCTGGGTATCCGCGGCCTCCGTCACTCACTCAGCTCTTTCTCGCGGCGAGGAGGCGGGCTTGTGGGGTAGAGTGGCCTGAGCTGAGGGCGCGGAGAGCTCGGGGCGGCGGGGACGACGGCTTCGAGAGCGGTGGTAACGACGGCCTCAACAGGCGGGGAAGATGAAAGGGTGAGGAAGGGCAGCCGGGCCGGGCCCAGGGGCAGGGTAGAGGGATGTGTGGAGAGAGGCCCGGGACGAAGACCCGGCGGAGGGTGTTCGGCGCCCGGAGGGGGCGGAGGCGAGGCTGTTGGCGGGCGGAGGAGCCGGCGCGGGCAGGGGGTGGGGAGGCCAGGGTTGGGGCCCGCCGGACGAGTGTGGGCTCAGTGGGGAGCCGGGGAAGCTATTGTGAGGCGCCTAGGGCACCCTGCTCCCGGCCCACACGGTGTCCGGGTTCCTCTTGTTCACATCCAGACTCCGTTTTATTCACACTTGCGGGCCGTGCAGAACCTTTTTTTGGCGGGGAGGACTTGCTCTTTATGCACAGGGATGAGTATTAGGAGCTGATGAGTCAACTAGATTAGGGTTGGGTCAGAACGAGTGGAGGAGGGGGAGTGAGCGCGAGCTGTGTGGACTTGGGGTGCCAAAATGTTTAAGGAAGTCCTGCGGGGTCAGTAGGTGGAGCTATTGCTCTAGGAGTTTGGGTTGCCGGGGGTTCTGAGTTACTACGCCTTCTGCAGTTGACTGGCGAAGTTAGGCTTTGATCTCTCGGTTTCCCTCTTGGATAAGATTAGGAATAGTTTTAGTATAACTGTTTCCGTGTGAATAAAATGTCTCCTTGGCATTCGTTTATGTAGTGTTTTAACAATAGGGAAAGAAGTGGGAGCTTATAAATGTTGGACTCGGTAGGAAATGCCCGAGTTTTTCCTGTTACCGTAAGTCGGTTAAGACTTGTAACTGATTTAAGTTAGTGAAGCTGGTCGAACTCTTTTGAGAGTGAAGTTAAATCACTTTTCCAGGCAATGTCATACTGCCTAAAATAAGGGTCTAAAGATTATCTCCGTGTGTCTGTTTGTAGTTGCAGCAGATTCCGAAATGTTTGATTTGCTTTTAGATCTGTAATATATTTTCTCACTGTGATTTTAACTAATTTTAACTATTGGATATTCATTTCAATGTTGAAAGTCTTGGAAATATTTGCTTCACTTGAATCTGATACAGAAATTTGATTATTTTATATGTGATCCAACATATTTGCGAAGTCTTGTTTTTCTGGTAAATGGTAATCCTTAGGTATGGATGCTGTCTCTGTTCATTTTTTGTATCCTAGTTGCCATACACTCATGTTCTGTTAAAACAATAAAAATGAGGCTGAAGAGTCCCCAGGGTTGAAACTATGTGATGGTTTTAGAAAGGTGGACTCCAAGAACATTCTGAATGTTTAGTTCCAAAATCTTTGATCTAGCTCAGTCGCCGTAGGGTGTACTGTTCTTTCTGATACTTGGCAATAGAAATGGGGCCAAACAATTCTATTTACTATCTACTTTGAATTAGTACACTCATGAAACATTTGTAGGCAGATCCCTACAAATAGTTAGTAGTCAAATAAAACTTTTTAAGAGTTGCAGAATCTAAACCTTACGCCAGCATCCATGCATGAAATTGAGGCTTCAGTTATAGTTCTTACTATGTATGATCAGTAGCTTAGAATTCTGTTCTTGACCGAACAGTTTTAAGATGATTTCATAGAATATTGAATTCTCCGCTTAACTCTCAGGTAAGATGGGGTTTTTATTTTATTTTTGCTTCTTAGATTTTTTTTGTTTGTTTGTTTGCTTTTTTGGTGTTAACTGGGTTTGAACTCAGGGCCTCACTTGCTAGGCAAGTACTTCACCACTTGAGCCACTCTAACAGCTGTTTTTTGTGTTGGGTATTTTTGAGATAAAGGCGTTAAAAAGATATTAAAAGTTCTTGAGTTCCAGAACTTGTATCACCAGTCACAATGTGGTCAGTCTCCTGATTCTTGATTTGGAAAGTCCTCTGGAAGACTGGTCCTGTTCCATGGTTTGCTAAGTGTTTTATAATATATTGCACTAACTGGACAGTAAGTTGAATAGAATATCTGAAATTCGAACCTGCAGAATCCCCATCTCCAAATCAATCTATTTAAATGTTGAACATTAGTGCCTCTTTAAGCTCTTAAAACTTACCTGGTTTTCCCTCATACTTTTAGTATTTTTATTAATAGTTGCAGTAGAACATTCCATTGTATTGACATGTATTTGCCTTTCCTTCATAGTAGATAAATTTCCAGTTACTAAATACTGCATGTGTTTATATACATGTCTGGAAATGTGAGATATATTAGAGATATTACTCCATTTAAATGAAGTGATGTTTTTTAGTAACCAAGGACATTGTGGCTTGAATTTGTGGATGGTAAGCTGATTATTTATATCTCTTATTCCTCTCTAGGGAAGATGACATTCAAGCAAGAAGAATGCCATAGACAGCCAAGACTGGGGTGGCAATGTAATTAGTCATCAGAGTAATAGTAAAACTAAAGCCATTTTCTCTTCAATTATAGTAAAGAGGTCCAAATTAGTTCTAATAAGAATGTCTTTAAAAGGGATACGAATGCATGTTGCCAAAGTAAAGTTGGGAAAGTAGGTAGAACTAATATATAGAACCATGTCCATTACTAATTGAAACATTAAAGGGAGCCACTTTGACCAAAAATTACTAGAAAATAAAGTAATAGATTGTGTAGTCAGAAATGAAACCATGCTAAAGAATTCAGAATAATGATTACCTCTGAGGGCCTATGGACTGGGGAGGGGCATAGGACATCTTCTCAAGTGCTGGAAATAACTCTGTATCTTTGTTGATTACTAGGCCATACATGTAAAATGTTGAATTGTAAACAAGGTCTGTGATGTCTTCCATATGTATCTTTGGATTTTTTAAGGCAGGGTCTCACTTTGTTGCCAAAACAGTCCTCTTGTCATAGCAATCCAAGTAACTGAGATGACCACTGTGCCTGGCTGCTATGTCAGTAAAATTCTTTTTTAAATATGATACTGCTGTTTTTTGTCAGCCAAACAAAAGCCTGAAGTAGCTTTGACAAATTTTATATACCTGCAATTCACACTCCTCGTTTCTGTAAAACTAATAATTTGTGGATTGTTGGTTAAATGCTGAATTTTAACAAATACTTTGTAATGTCTCCTTTGCTATGTTGAGATGAATTCATATAAAAAAATCTATATGCAGGCGGGGGGGGGGTGGGTGGGAGAAATGACCCAAACAATGTATGCACATGTGAATAAACGAATAAAGAAAAATTTACATGCAACACAATTTTTAAAAGTCAATGCAATGTCCTAAAAGAAAGGAGAAATAAACTGAAAATTAATTATAATAAGATCTATTCCAGAATGTAATGACCAGGTACAATTACACTTTAAAGTGTAAGAAGGTCATTTATTTGCATATATCTGTAAATAGTCATTGTATAATTTAGAAAATATATCAGCTACTTATCCTGGTGTGTACATCAGTGACTTGTGCTGTGTTGCCATCAGTGGAGTGATTTCTTTTCTGAAATGTGGGTGACTGTTAGTAAAGCTCTGAACAAAGTGTAATCAAGAATTTCTGTATTAGACTATTTCACTGTCATTCAGACTGAGCACTCATCTATTTCATCAAGATATATATTCCCTATTTATCGTAATTTCAAACATTTTGACCACTGTTTAATATTTCTGCATTTGTAATCAGCAGAGTGGGAAATCGGGACTACTATTGTGATCGGTATAAATTATGTGTTTCTGTTACTGCAATTTATGACCAAATTAATTTTATATTATTGCACAGTAACTTATAGTCAATTAAAAATCTCTTCAAAGTCTTATAAAGCATTATTTTTCAAACTTGGTGTTTTTGCCAGACCAACCTCATAGCTATGTTAAATTTCACTTTGCTATTTCATCCTGTGGATATCCTTCTGTGGATTAGTTATGGCTGTCAACTTTGACATTTGAAGAGAAGTACTTAATTACCCAAATGCTTTTCCTTCATCTTTTTTTTTTCTTTAAATAACATGGCCTGTAGACCAGTAGAAACATTCTTTCCATAATGTAAATGGATTGTAGTTTAAAGCTACAAAATTATATAATGGTACTATCACCCAGCCCTACTTTCTGCCTTCTTCTTTCTATCAATTACTAAAATTAATTTAGTGCTTAACTTACTGGCGAAATATTTGTCTTGTCCAGTTGGCTATTGTGCAGTTGAAATGGCCCTGTATTGTTAAGTAATTGAACTTTAAAGTTTAATTTAAAAAGTTGGTTATTGGACAATTTGAAGTATATTTGAAATGTAAATATGTATCAATATTTCCTGGAAATATTAGCATCTGAATTGAAGTATGCTATATTAAAAAAAAACCCAACAACTGGGATTTAAGCATTTGGTTTTGGAAAAAAAGTCTTTCAAGTAACTACATATAATCTTAATATATTATTTCTGAGGTGTGAGTTTTTTTTAAGTGAAAAGGTACTGGCATTTTTTTTTTTTTTAAGCTCCTATACTTGTTACCAGTTGACTTCCAATTTATACTGTCAGCGGTGTATTAGAGTGCCCTTCTTTTTCCACGGGCAGAATCTGAAAGGGAAATTTGAAAAACTGTAAGAAAATGGAGGAAGGTAGTGGCTACCATCTCAGTCAAAAGTTGTATAAATTTTCATCTGGGATGTGCTGTGTACACTTGAACGTTTGTGAAATGATACAAATAGCTAGTAGCTTCCTTACACATTCGTTTTAAGTACATACTCATGTATAGCCTTTTACTTTGCTGACTAGATGATAAATGCATTTTTCCCTTTTTAAAAAAAATTTGTTATTTAGTGAAGTTAGACATTTTCCACCTTCAGTGGTCATTTATATGTATCTTTGTCATTTAGCCTATTTGTGTAATTACTTGTTTTTAATTGGGATATTGGTTGCCTGAACGTCAGATTACAAAACAATCAAAGATAATGCTCTTGAGATAATGGGTTAAGACATTCAGATTAGTAAATATTGTCAGAGTGATGTCAGTTAAGACCCAGATCATTTGAAAGAAAATTTAAGGTATATTTGCATTGTTCCCCTTTTAATCTATATGGCTTATTTATCTTAAGAACAGAAGC